CTGCCTTGCTGGTGCTTGGTGTCAAGAGGGCCAGGCCTGCCAGCACCCCGTCTCCAGGGCTCACATGGGTACTGACCAGGTGGGTGGCAGAGGAGTTCAGGGCCCTGGGTCTGATCGGCACTGTGCCCTGAGATGGGGGCAGGGTAGGTGCATGCAGGTCTGGCCCTAGAGTCTGCCCGTGAGGGGCAATGGTTGGTGGGCACGCTTGGCTCAGGAAGCCCCTTACTGGACTGATGAGCTGCACCCTCTGCTCTCGCCCCGCCCCTGCCCGAACCCCAGTTCTTCACCTGCCTGGTCATCCTGTTTGCCTGCGAAGTGGCTGCTGGTATCTGGGGCTTCGTCAACAAGGACCAGGTGAGGGGGGTCCACCAGGGCCTGGTGGGGTGCCCTTAGCTCCTTCCTGCGCGGCCACCCATTAGGAAGGTGCAGGAGAGCTTCCTGGAGGCACCGTGGGGCTGAGCACCTGTCTGCCCAAGGTGGGGCAGTCGCTGCTCTGCTGACCCCGCCCCCCTGCCCCCTGCCCAGATTGCCAAAGACGTGAAGCAGTTCTATGATCAGGCTCTGCAGCAGGCTGTGCTGGATGATGAGGCCAACAACGCCAAGACTGTGGTCAAGACCTTCCACGAGACGGTGCGGGCCGGGCCCTGCCCTGGGGGCTTCCTGGACGTTGCCCCTTAGGTCCTTGAAGAGGGCCCACTCTGCCCTCTCGGTCCCGGGGCGGTGGGTGGGCCCAGGGGCAGGCAGGGCTCATCTCCCCGCAGGATGAGGCCCTCTGATGTCTGCAGCCCCTAGAGGTTGGGCTCAGTGGCGGGGGACACTGGCCGTGGACATTGGCTGCCAGCCTGACCGCGGCACCCCTGTTCCTGCAGCTGAACTGCTGTGGCTCCAATGCGCTGACCACATTGGCCACTTCGCTGGCCAAGAACAACCTGTGTCCCACAGGCAGCAGTGTGATCACCAACCTCTTCAAGGTGTGCAGTGGCTACGGGTCCACGGGGCACTGGGGGGTGGCCGGCAGAGGTTGACATGGCCGTGGGTACACGGACACTGAGGGGAAGGGGGGATGGACAGAGCCTGGCAGTAGCCGGTGAGTGGGGCAGACGCTGCTGTGCCCAACCCAGACTCTGAGGGTGAGAGCTGACTGGAGGGTCACCCTCGTGGTCGGGGGCTGAGGGAGGCCTGATGGCTGGGATGGTGGGCATGTGACGGCCCTTGCTCAAGGCCAGTGGTGGCTGCTGTGACCTTGGCCCTCCGCTGCCCAGAAGTGGCTTGAGCCAGGACATCGGTCCATGCCAAGAGTCATGTGAGAGCTAGCCGTGTGAGGGGCAGGGTGGGTGTGTGGGTGGGTGGGTGGGTGGGGGCAGGGAGTGGTGTGTGTGCTGTGTGGGGGTGAGGGCAGGGGCAGGGGTGTGTGTGTGTGCACTGTGTGTGGGTGAGGGCAGGGGTGCGGGAGTGTGTATGTGTGTACTGTGTGTGTGTAGGGGCAGGGATGCAGGGTGTATGTGTGTGTGCATGTGTGAGGGCAGGGTGCAGGCATGTGTATACAGGGCATGTATGAGGGGCCGGGGGCCTTGGGTTGCACCGCGCTCCACATCCCCGCGGTCCCCCAGGAGGATTGCCACCAGAAGATAGACGAGCTCTTCTCTGGGAAGCTCTACCTGATCGGCATCGCGGCCATCGTGGTCGCCGTCATCATGGTGAGTTGGGGGAGGGCACGGGTGGGGACACCCGTGACACATGCGGCCCTGACACTGCTCCCTGACCCCCACCAGTCTCTGCCCTTCACCTGAAGGTCTCTGCCCCGCCCCCGCCTGTCCCCGACGCCTCCTGCACGTGCACACCCCACGCACACTAACATACACGCCCCACCGCGCCTCCTGCACATGCACACCCCACTCACACTAACATACACGCCCCACCGCGCCTCCTGCACATGCACACCCCACTCACACTAACATGCACGCCCTACCGCGCCTCCTGCACGTGCACACCCCACTCACACTAACATACACGCCCTACCGCGCCTCCTGCACGTGCACACCCCACTCACACTAACATAGACGCCCTACCGCATTGCCCTGCCCCTCCCACGCACGCCACGCCCCCGACGCGCACACCCTTCTTGTCGCCACGCCCCGCAGATCTTCGAGATGATTCTGAGCATGGTGCTGTGCTGCGGCATCCGGAACAGCTCCGTGTACTGAGCTCAGCGCTGCCGCCGCCCGTGTACATAGCCCCCCGTATATGCGTAGCCTTCCCATCTCCAGGGCTCCTTTCTCTAACCCAGCCCTGTCACCTTTCTGGGGCTGGCGGCCCGCGTGGGGTACGGGGCAGCTGCCGGCGGCCTGGGGGAGGACCCCGGAGCCGGGCCCCACGAGCTGAGGGGCCGCAACCCCACCGCACGTCCCCGTCCCCCAGGCAGTACAACTGGCGGCTTGAAGCCCTGCCTCCCCCTCCCCCACCTGTATCTGGAGCCCCATCCGAGCTGCCCTAGCGCTGTTTACCATGTCACCTCCCACTGTACTTCCCCATCTTCCATTGAATAAAGAGGGAAACCCTGCCAGGCCTGTGGTTGATTCCCTGGGAGGGGGGCTGGCCACGTGGGAGTGCCCCTGGATCCGCCCCTCCCCAGTGACCAGGCTGAGCAGCGGCAGGATATGGGCCCCACCCTGCTGGAAGGCCTCCCTCCCTCCTTGGGTTTCCTCCTGGCCCCTGTGAGCACCTGGCCGAACCAGCCCACTGCACGTGTGGGGTGGGGGAGGCCCGCGGGGTGTTGGTTTGGACTTCAGGACTGATGGTTCTTCTCCTTCCTTCCTGCCCACCCCTCTCTGTGCTTGTAAGCACGGGCTGGCGGGCCTTGGGGGTGGGGGTGGTGTGTGTGTGTGTGTGTATGACCAAGTGGCCTCTGGGGAGCCCCTGGACTCGCAAGCCATCTCTGGGCCCTGCCCGGGTCTCCTCCCTTTGTCCAATTTTCCAGTCTGGGTTATCTGGACAGTGGGGGTTGACCAATCCACCGATCCAGGCCTCACCCACTATGGCTCAGAGGGCAGGCTGCTTGGTTAGAGATGCTGGGTGACTTCGCCTCCTTTGGGTGGTGCCCACATCTACCACTCTTTGAGGGTGAATCTGACTGGGGTTCTTCCTTTATGGACTGGGCCCCAGCCTTGCCGAGCACCTTAAGGACCCCACCCCCTCCACATCAGAGCTGGAGGGCTCTGGTACTGGAATGCCCCCAGAAGCCCCACCTCTCCGCTGTGGGGCCTGCAGATACATCTGCCCAGGAGTCTGGGGTGCTTTCCTCCAATTGACTGCGCTATGGGTAGAAGCAGGGGTCTCAAGGGGTGATCCGAGCTCTTCCTGGATGCTCGGGACTGAGGAGGGTGCCTGCGTCTCCTGCTTCTGGATAGGGCTGGGTTGCCCAATACACAGATACACATGGGTCTGGTGGTGTCTTCCCACCAGTCTGTAGCCCCTACCAAATCAAAGACCTGGGTGCAACTGCTCCCACAGATGGGCAGGTGGTGTCCCCTGCTTGGGGTTGGTTGATGCGACCCTGCCTTTGGACTGGGTAGCGTCACGGACCCCCAGTTTCCAGCAGAGGTATCCAAGTCATCAGAGAAAGCCAATATCGAAGCCCCCATTGGGCCTAGGGTCCCAGGGAGACGACGATATCAAAGGGAGAACCCTTGGGCCTTGTCCTCCGTCACCTGGCAGAAGGTGACCTATCTTCAAGTGGCCTGTGGCCTTTTGAAGCCAGGTTTCTGTAGCACAGGCTTCCCCCAGTCACACACACCCGCCCTCTTGGGGGTGGGATCCCAATGGGCAGGGCCACCGGACCAGAGGGGCTCGATGGAAGGATGGCCTGCCCCTTCCAGGCCACCTAAGTCTCTGCACCAGCCACGCCACAGCAGGGGCGAGGGCAGGTCTGCTGCTCAGAGATGCACGCTGTGGCTAGAGGACCCGGGGGTGGCCGGCTGTGTCCCTGAGGGTAAAGGTGGGCCTGGGAAGAGCCTTGCCCCTGGACGAGGCCCCAGGAAACACCCTGGGCAACAGGCACTACTTGTAGCCTTGAGCAGGGGAGGCCAGGCAGCCCATGCGTGCAAGATGAGGCCTGCTTCTGATTTGGGGCTGCGTGAGTGCGGGGACCTGCTTGGGGGGCTCCGATGCGGTGGGGCTGGGCAGCGGAACGCAACGACGGCCCTCTGATTAGCTTAGGCCCCCACAGCTCAGGAAGAAAAGGCGATGGATGGACGGAAAAAGGCGACGCCTCGCTACTTCCGGGCCAGACAGGAAATGGCTGGCGATTGGCTGTGTGCCCGCGAAGCGCGAGCGCGCGCTTCCTTCCCGAGGCGGCCTGTGTACTCGCGGCTGCCGGCAGGTGGCGCTAGAGCCCAGGGAGCACTCTGGGACTCGCATCCGGCCTTGTCTCCCTTTTCTCCTTAAATTCGAACTTGTTCCTCGAAGGTGCCCACGTCTCGGAATCAGTCCCGAGCTAGCCTCCCCAGCAAAAGAAAGGTTAAGAGTAGGAAAAGGAACCGCACAGGACTACGAGTCCCGTCAGGCCTCGGAGACGGTGGCCAAGTGCCTTCTGGGAGTTGTAGTTCTTTGGACACGAGCACTGAGCCGCTTCGCCGACAGAAGACTCGGTTTCCCAAAGGGCTAAGCGCGGCGTCCCGGCAGGCAGCGCGACCAACATGGAGGAGGCCAGGCTGCCGTGAGCGGTAGGTTTATATACGGAAGGCCGCCGCGAGGTCGTAGTCCCCAAAGTGCACCTCCGAACCTGGCCACTCCGACGTCTCGGTGTCCCCAGACCTGGGGCCCATCCATCCGGCCCTGGAGAATCTGGTTCGTTCCCCGCCGCGGGGCGGCTGCTGTGGGCATCAGGAAGCCCAGGCCCCAGCTCTTCCCACCGCCGAGCCCCCGAGTCCGGCACCTTGGTGGCTTTTGCGTGCCCATGGGGGGGACGGGAGGCCGGCTGCGCGTGAGCCCCCCTGGCCTTGCGGGCCCTAAAACGCCTCGTGGGCTGAGCTTCCTCCCCGAGTTCGCTCTGAGAGCCACACCTGGCCCGGAGTCCCGCCCCTCCGCCGACTGGAGCTGCCGAGCCACGCCCGTCGGTCCCCCATCCCCAACGTATGCACGAGCCCGGGGTCACCCCGCGCGGTGTCCGTGCGCCGGAACTCCCGGGTTGGGGCGCTGATGCTCTCCCCTGGCCCGTCGTCGTGGTAACAGGAGGCGGCTCTTGAGCGTGCCTTCGCCCAGCCAAGCTCCTCTGCCCACACACAGGAGTCTGGAGGGTGCCAGCCTTGGGGGAGTCCTTTGCAACAATCAGGCGCTGTGCAGGTTCTGCCAGAGTCTGGACTCAAGGTTTTGCCTCCCTGCTAGCCTGCTGCCAGGTGTCTGTACTCCTGCTGGGCTGGTCTGATGGGTGGTCCTCTCCTTGACCCCCTCCCAACTACAGCGCTTCCTGAGAGGCCCCTGCAGGATAGACGACTGAGCCTGGGCCCAGAAGGCTTGCTGAGACCGAGCCTAACCACCCACCAGCACCCAGGAAACGAGGCCGGTGAGAGATGGCTTCTCACAGCAGGGGCCCCTTCGGAGGGGGTGGTTCGCAGACTGAGCTAATGGGCCATTTGGTTTAGGGACAGCGCTGCCCTCTGGAGAGATGGCGGCGACTGGAGGCGGTGAGGCCGACTGCAAGGCCGAGTTGGGCGGCCTTCCTTCGGACGCGGTCTCCCTCAGTGACTCAGATTCAGACTCGGACCTCAGCCTGCCAGACAGTGCCAAGGTGGACACCCTGTCCCCAGAGGAGTTGCGGGGCGAGGCCGAGGGGGATTCCGGCCCCGATGAGCCACCCTCACCCCCAGCAGGTCCGCCCCAAGCCCCTGTCCGGCCATTTCACCTGCCCGGCATGAGTCCCAGCTTCTCACAGCGCAGCAGAAACATCTTCGACTGCCTGGAGGGTGTGGCCCACACCGACTCTGGAGACGGGGGCCACTTCAAGCGGCCCTTGGCACCCCCAGACCACCCTCCAGAACAGGGCCCACGCTGCGGCAGTCTGAGAGCTGTCCCACCGCCCCGGGTGCCCTCTGTCCCCGACTACGTGACGCACCCCGAGCGCTGGACCAGGTACAGCCTGGATGGCATGCCTGAGGGCAGTGACCAGAGCAACCGTGAGGCGGCCTTGTCTTTCCTGGGCTCCCGGAGCCCGGCTGGGCCCCCCAAATATGCCCCCACCTTCAACCAGGACCCCTCCAGCCGCGGGCAGGGCAGAATCATCTTCAGTAGGCCCGAAAGGAGCCGGGGCCCAAGGAAGGTGGGCGCAGCCGTGGGTGAGGCCGAGGATGGCGTGAAGCTGGCCCACCTGGTCGCCAGCCCTGAGACTGAGGAGGGGGGCCCTCATGGGGACCTGCAGGAGGGAGAGGGAACCCCCCCTGGGCTGGGCCCCGGCCCAGGGCCGCCCCTCTTGGTAGAAGCAGTAGGGTTCCACGGCAGCAGGAAACGGAGCAGGAACCACTTACGGAGCAAAGGCAGCAGCCCTCCCGACGGCCCCGGGGCCGAGGCCTAAGATGCCCTCAGCGGGCAATGCCTGTGGCAGCGCCTGCACACACGGGAGCCCCGCCATCACTGCCATGTGGGGACAGTAAAAGTTTGAGGGCTCATCCAGGCTCTGTGTGCTGTCTTGTGTCCCCAAGGATGTGTGCACCTTCTCACTAGGGCCGGGTCCTTTCCCACTCTAACCGGTGTTACCCCGAGGTCGTTGGGAGACTCGAGCGGTGACAGCTTGATGGCCTGCTGACCCCTCCCATGGGGGTCACCGTCCCCAGGGACAGTGGGAGGGTGTCTGCTTTGTGTGGCCCAAAGCCCACCCCTTTCCAGGTACCGCCCCGTCTGGGTGCCTCAAGGGGCGGGTGGCTTGTGCTGGCGAGGGACTCCCAGCTGGTGGGAGGTTGTTCCTGCACCGAAAGCTGCAGAGGGTGCCTGGGCTGGGGCACAGGTTGGCCCACTGGCCGAAGGGCCCTGGGCTTGTAGAGGGAAAAAACCACAGTGACCAGCAAGTCAGACTCTTAATCAGACAACAGGGGTGGGGTGGGGGCAGCCTTCCGAGAAGCTGGTCATCCAAGAGGCAGAGGGTGCTTCCCACAGGGCACCCTCTGCTCCCTGAAGTGGCCCAGGAGTTGGTTCAGGACGGATGGCTGCCTCCGTGCTCAGCAGGGAGCTTCGGGCTGCGGCCACCGCAGTTCTGGGAGCCTGGCGGAGAAGGAGAGTGAGGGGTCCGCCTGGCGCGCAGGACGGACACGCTGGCCTCAGGCGGGCCCCACCCACACCAGCTGCCCCGGGGAGGGCTGGGGGCCAGCTCCCAACAGAGGGGCGACCCATCCACACTCACCCCACTTGCTGCAGGGGCCATGGCCCTGTGCCAGTGTGTCAGCCACTGTGGACAGGAGAACCGTGCAGTAGTTGATCTGGAAGAGCGAGGCATTCAGGGAGCCAGGGCTGGTGAGCTCAGGTGTGGGTAGGGACACCCCAATCCCACCCCGCTCTCTGCAGGTGCTTGGAGCTCCAGGCTGGGTATGCACAGCCCCTGCTGAGAGATGTGCGCCCATCTGGCTCCAGGAGTGGGGTGCTCACCTGAGACTCCAAACCCTTGACTCGCCTCTCCTGCTCCCGAAGTGCACCCAGGCACGTGGCCACTGCGTCTACCCTGCAGTGGAAAAGACGCCACCGGTGGCTGGCGTGATGCCAGCACCTCCGGTGTACCTGCGGCAGGGCCTCTGGCCCTTTGTTCCCCCACCCCGTGCGCCCAACTAATGGCAGGTGATAGGGTGTAGGGCTCCTGAGAGAGATCAGGCGCCCTCCTTGCCCTGGGAGAGCAAGACCGAGGCCAGGAGGCTGGGCCTGCAGGCATTGAGGACCCACAGACAGAGGGCAGCCAAAGCCCCAAATTTGCAAGGACAGCATGCCACGCTTATTGGCCAGTGTCCCTCTTACTAGGGCAGGCCTGGTCCCAGCAGAGCCTGTCACCAGCAGTGACTGACCATGGCCTGGCAGAGACTGGAGATCCGCCTACAGGCCCTGACACCAGCCCTGTTCCTCTGTCCCCAGGAGCGCCCCTAACTCTTACATCTTCCTTCCCACAAGTGTCCTCCCCTGTGGTGCTCTCTGTGGGTGCTCCTTCATCACTGGCACGCTCCCTGTGGACGCCCCTCCCCTAGGGCTCCCTCACCTGAGGGCTCCCTCACCTGAGGGCCGTCTTGCGCAGGACCTCCGCGGTGCTCTCCTTTCTCCTCTTCTCGAGGCTGCTCAGGAAATTCTCCTTCTGGACCGTCTCCCACGTGAGGATCTTCTGGTCCAGGGGGTCGGGCAGGTCTCTCTCTGGGGGGGGGGGGGGGGCAGCTGGATTGGCCAGAGGCTTAGGACGGGTCCTGTCAGCCTTAGAGGGGGCCCTGGCCACAAGTACATCAGTGCCCCCCTCTCTAGTGGGGTTGGCCTTAGAAAGCAGCTAACCTAGCAGGCAGAGCCAGTGGCTGGGACAGGGGACAGGGCCACAGCCAATGTGGACGGTGGCAGCCAGCACCTGTCCCCAAGACCACCCCTGAAAGACCCAGACCCTCAGGGCCTTATTGTCACCTATATATCCTGCCCTGGCCCTGCCCTCCTCAGGGCCCACCCTTGGAATTATGGCCCGGCCCCAGTCTTACCCTCGTCCAGGTAGATCGCTCAGACCCAGAGCATCGCTCTGACTTAGGCCCTGGCCTGCCCCGAGTGGTCCCGCCCTCCCCGGGCACTACCTCTGGGGTCCTGCCTTGTCTGCCCCATGCGGCCCGCCCTCACCCAGCCGCTGGCCCTGTGGCTCTGCCTCTTTGCGGCAGGCCTTCTTGAGCAGCAGGCTCAGGTGGCTGAGGACGATGAAGGGCGGGGCCAGCGAGGGCCGCTCGTGGTACTCCACGATCAGGCTGTAGCGCTGCGACTTCCAGAATGTGTCGGCGTTCCCCTGCACCACCTGGAACGTGTAGCTGCGGGGGTGGGGGCCCCCCACGGCCTCAGATGCATGCCTCTTTCCTCTGAGGGGGCTGCTGGCTTTACTATCCCTCACTCCACCCCCACCCCCGTTGCTCTCTCCCAGGCCCACCTGCCTTGACACCTGGTGTCCTGTCCTACTGCAAGCTGGGCTCACCTCGCCAGCTGCCTCAACTAGACCTGAGGACCGGTGGGCTCAGGCTACCATGTGGGGAGCGCGGCCGCAGGGCACCTGAACATGGCGATGAGGAGGTTCATGAGCAGCACATTGGTGACCAGCAGGAAGGTGACCAGCAGCAGGATGACCAGCCAGTTGGCGTAGAGGTTGGGGCAGGAGGGTGAGTCCCCCATCAGGGGGTGTGTGGAGCAGTTCACCCGGGCTTCTGAAACACATGGGCCATGTGCAGAGGGGCGTTCTGCAGACCCTGGCCGGATCCCAACCCCCGCCCCCCACCAGCCTCCAGACACCTTCCCAGGAGCTGGCTCCTTTCCTCCGCAGAGTGCCCACACCACAGCGTGCCCCGCTGCGTGCCAGAGCTCAGTTCACGAGCCTCCGGTGCCCACACCTCACTGCTTGAGCCCCAGCCAAGCCAGGAGTGCCGCACACATCTGAGCGCATGCGCAGACACAGGAGGCCCCGCCTCTGGAAGCAGCCTGGAGCTGCTCCTGGCAGCTTGGGGAGCGACCTTTCCCGTGGGCGGGGCCTTGGAGGGTGGGGGAGTAGGAGACCAGTGAGTGGGCCTGCTGCCCAGAGTTCAGGGAGCAGGGCAAGGGCCACCAGGGAGTGCGACCAGGTGAGGCCTAGCCTCCTGCGAACAGTTGAGGGTGACCCAGGACTGGGTCACTCCTGCCATGTGTCCATCTCTGCCCAGCACAGACCCTAAGCCAGGCTGGCTCCCATGTCCCTACACGCAGGTGTGTGCCCCATGGCCATGCCAGCGGCCCATAATCAGCAAACCCCCAGCCCCCCCCTCTTTGAAGTGGTCAACGATTGTGTCTTGCTTGGGTCCACAACCAATGCTCAAGCAGCAGCTGCTAAGAGATCAATGACAGTGCATTGGGTGAATCTGCTGCACAAGACCTCTGCAGGGTTGAAGAGCAAGGGTGCCACTGTGAGGACTCAGGTGCGCCTGACCTGGCCATGGCATTGAATAGGAAGCAGTGTGTTTGAACTACAGTGCCGGAGAAGACTACTGAAAGTACCTGGGACTGCTGGGAGGATAAAGCAACCAGTTTTGGAAGAAGTGTGGCCAGAGTGCTCCTTAGAGACAAGGATGTGGAGACATGGTCTTACATACGTTGGACATGTTGTCAGGAGAGACCAGTCCTGGAGAAGGATGTCACGCGTGGTAAAACGGAGGGGCAGCGAAAAAGAGGAAGCCCCTCAGCAAGATGGACGGACACCGTGGCTGCCACCAGGGGCTCAGACAGGGACAGTGGTGGGGATGGCCAGGGCCGGCCAGCGTGTAGTTCCCTTACTCAGCGGTACTCAGAACAACAACCCCCAGGGCCCTGTGTGCGGGTGAACGGCTCCCCATAAACAGGCACGCCGCGCCCCTGGATCACGGGCTGGACTCTCCAGCCTGTGACAGCCCTACCCCCGACCCCTCCCCTGCCGCACCATCCATCTCGTCCAGCGGGATCTGGCCAAAGATCTGCAGGTAGGGCCGGTAGAGCACGCGGCGGAAAATCCACTCGGGGCGGCCGTCGTGCGGGTGCAGCAGGGCGTGGGTGGTCACGCCGTAGGCCACGAGCCACACGCTCAGGAAGAAGAGGAAGAAGAAGACGTCCTTCATCTCAGGGTGGGAGAGGCGTGTTAGCCAGGTGGGGGCACAGGGGACACCAGGGGTGGGGAGAGGGGTCAGGGCTCACCATCCGTTCCACAATGATGATCTTCGGGCCCAGCTGCTTGTGGACAGCGAAGATGTGGATCAGCCGCAGCGCGAAGACCATGAAGTCAATGGCCAACACTGCACGGCCAGCCTCGAACACCCAGGGCAGCACCCTGGGGAGGACAGGGCTGGGATGCTGGGGGGCCCCAAGGGCGCGCACACACACACACACACACACACACACACACACACACGGGCTGGCCAGGGCAAGCCCTGTTGCCAATGCCCGAGAGGCCCACTGGCCCCAGGCCTGTGGGTGGCATGCCCAATCCCACTCCTGGCAGCTGCCCCGGCAAGGCATCTGGGCCACACGGACCTGCAGGTCACACCGACGACAAACAGGAAGATGGCCACCATGTCACACTTGTTCCAGTTGTCTTCCACATACAGCATGAACTTCTTCACCAGGTTCGTGCCTTCATCCGTGAAGAAGCCCTGGTGGAGGAGAGACGGCCCCTTACAGCTGCAGGGGTCCCACCACCAGGGGCTGCCAGGCTGAGATTATCAGGGATCAGGCTCAGTCTCCCACTTGAACTGGGAACCGTGAGAGCTGGGGTCTGAGCTCAGTGTGGGATCAGGGAAGAGGTCAGCCTGGACATGGGGTCGGGTCTCTCTGTGATAAGGGTCCAGGAACTGGCTCTGGTCAGGGTTCAGACTGACTGGGGAGCTAGCATCTGGGCCTCATTTGGAGCTAGGCTTGGGGCTCAATGTGGAACATGGCCACTGGGGTGCCCTGGAACTTGTGCCTGAACGAGATCTGGGAGGTGCCTTGGGGCGGGGGGTGTTGTGCAGTGTGGAACCTGGCTCAGGACTCAATGATGAGTCAGGATCCGAGCTCGGTGTGGATCTTGGATCAGGGCTCAGTGAGGAGTTGGGATCTGGGTTCAGTATGGATCTGGGATCAGGGCTCTGTCTAGTCTGGGGACAAGGGGTAGCCTCTGCCTCTGAGGAACTGCTGCCCGAGATTCACCTGCCGGATCTCCTCCAGCACCAGCGTGAAGACCCAGAAGTAGAGGGTGATTTCAGGTGTTGTGGGCCCGTGGGGTGGCGGCTGGAAGTCCACCAGCAGGACATAGGTGAACAGGAAGAGGAAGGCGAAGTACATAACCACGTTCCCCAGGAACACGGTCACTGGAGCACCCCAGAACTTGCGCCAGCGTGTGAGCAGAGAGGAGGCCCCAGGCCCGCGGTGGAGGGACAGAGCCCCTGGTGCCTCGTCTGGCTGGTCTGTCCTGTGAGGCAGATGGGGAGCCAGCAAGTAGGCGGGTGCCCCACAGAGCTCCTCGGCCACTGCCCGCCTCCGGCCCTTCACCCTCCAAGGCTCAGTACCGGCCACTGGGCTTGCTGAGTGGGCTTCTCTCCAAGTCCAGGCTGTCTGACCCCTGCAGGGCCTCTGCTTCTGCCCTCTGTGGGGCCTCGTCGCTGTGGGCATGGGGTGCTTAGGCCGGGGAGGTCCCCGGAGGCCCTCCTACAGGGCCCGGGCCTGGCCTTGAATGGCAGCTACATTGGGAGGGTTATGAGGACACCAGGCAGGGGGCCAGGTGGGGGGCGCAACACCCCGTCACCCCTTGGAGCCCAGGCTGGTCCTCTGCATACCTGAAGGTGATGAGGGTGGTGTAGAGGAGTGGGGGGCAGATGAAGGCGCTCAGCAGGCGCAGGATGGGGGTGCCTGTGGCCATGTCCCCCCACCAGATCCGTGTCAGGAAGGCCTGCAAGACAGGTTGCTGCCCACCCAGCTCCTCTCACAGGTGGGCTGGGGAAGAGACTCAGGGGACGGCTTAATGGGGGTGGGGGGCTGGCCCGGGTCCACAGCTGAATGGCCACAGGTGATGGATGGGGTGGCAGAGGGGAAGGTGCCTATGGCAGCGCGGGGCTCACCCACCTGCACGCCGTCATGGGCAAAGAAGGCCTTGACATCTGCCTCGGTGGCCAGGTGCAGGCACGTGGTCCTGCCCCAGCTGCGGTTGCGGCGCACCAGCAGCGCGCAGGCGCGGTCCTCGTTGTTACTGTAGCACTCAGAGAAGAGACCTGCGGCCACCGGGCCACCACACCGCTGCTCAGTGGGGGACCCGTGTCCCGCCCCTCTCTGCCTCTGTTTCCCTGCAGCCTCCCTTTGACAGCGCAGTGGCTTGTGCACGCCACCCTGGGTCCCTCAGGAGCCCCCATCCCGCAGAGTGTCCCTGCCAGAACATCAGTGTCCCACCCCATGCAGGACCCAAGGTGGAGCTACCCAAGTGGGGCAGGTTTCCTCCACCCTGGGTCCACGGGGAGCAAGAACAGGGAACCCCCTGAGTCCCCTCCCACTCACCCAGGGCCAGCTGCTCGTACTTGGCGTCCCGCATGGTCCGGGCCACCTCGGCTTCAGCCGCCAGGTGGGCCATTTCTTTGAGGATCTTGCAGGCGGCCAGCGCGGCGGCCACGCCCTCCTGGCCCTGCGAGACCGGCTGTGAGGTGGCGGCCCCCTCCCTCCCCGCGAACTCCGGTGGTGACCTGGCCCCTGCGCTGGCCCAGCACACTCACCATGGCCCAGAAGTAGGTGGCCATCTCGTGGCGGTTCTGCAGCACCGCCCACAGGAACAGGTCTCGCCAGGGATCCTCACTCTTCTGCTGCAGGTCCAACAGCCACTTATGCCCCGTGGGCCGCTTGGCCGGACCCTTCTCCTGTAGGAGCAGACACCCGCCTTTGTGCCTAATGCTGTCTGGGCCCGGCCCCCACCGGTCCCGCCCCTTCTCTCAGTTTACTGACCCCATCCCACCCTGTTGCTGGTCCCGCCCATTGCTACCACTAGCCTCACCAATGACCACCTGTCTCCACCATCTTCCCCCCCACGCTGACGCACCCCTCACCATCGCGAGACCCGTCCCTCCACTGGCTGGTCACGCCCACCACCAGCCTCCTCCCTCCCTTGTAATAAGCCACGCCCCCATCACTAGTCCTGCCCCTGTCCACTTGTCTCCACCCCTGCCCAGACTGGCTCAGCCCAACACCACTGCTGGCCCCACTCCTCACCACCACTGACCCTGTCCATCACCAGCCTCCGCTCCTCCCCACATCACTAGCCCCACCCCAGGTTGACCTCACCCATCCTGCTGCTGGCCCCACCCGCGCCTTTTGAAAGCCACACCCCCAACCAACTGGTTCCACCCCTCACTATCACTAGCTCCGCCTCATTTCATTGGCCCCTCCCCACACTGACCCCGCCCGTCCAACTGCTGGACCCGCCCACCACCAACAACCATTACTCCTGACCATCACCATTCACTGCCTCCTGGCTTCCCCTCTGTGGGCCCGACCTCCTGATCCCACCGGCCACCATCACTAGCCCCGCCCACCCACCTGTCCCCGCCCTCCCTAGTCTGGCCCCGCCCTCTCTCACAGCCGGCCCGCGGGCCCCCGCGCGGCCCTCCTGGTAGAGTCCGCGGCAGGCGTCATGCAGGAAGTCCTTGAGCACGCGGGAGACCTCGTGCAGGGAGAAGGCGGGCGGCGCGGCGGGCGGCTCGCGGGGCTGCTGGGCGCCCAGGCCGGCCAGCGTCAGGCGGCCCTCCTCGTGTTTGCGCTGCAGGAGGTCGAAGAGCAGGCTCTTGGGGGACACGGCGCGGTAGAGCTGCTGCAGCCGCCCGTACGTCAGGAAGTCGGCCACGTCCGCGCCGTTGTCCACGAAGAGGCGCACGAAGTCCGGCTTGTCGTTCACCAGCGCGTCCATCATCACCTCCTCCAGGTCTTGAGACTGGGGTGGGGTGGGGGGGCGGGTATGCATCAAGGCAGAGGCCTTTGGGGCGCTGGACTCCGCTCGGAGTTCAGATCCCCAGCCACAGCTCCGGGACTCCTGGTCAAGCCCAACACTGCGTGGGTGGATGGTCCAGGATCGGCGCTCAGGACGCAGCCGCCAAGGGGGGACTGACCAAGCCCAAGTGGCTGGGGAGGGGAACACCTAGCCGAAGTCATGAGGTGGGGGGGGGCACCTAGTCCAGGTGATCAGGGTGCGGGGGACTAGCCTAGCCCAGGTGACCAGGGTGGTCTGGATGGGGAGTCTGGTCTAGCCCAGGTGCTGAGGTGGGCACCTTCCACTCGACGTCCCCGTTGAAGATCTCACTCTTGGCGATGTCCACGCGGCCCCAGGCCACGGCCAGCTTGAGCTCATCGAGGTAGTGCTGGGCATCATGGCTGTGACTCCTGCAGGCTGCGGGCAGGGACAGAGAGACGCCATCAGCGCCGCCCCCCCCCCATGGGGCTTCTAGACACCCCAGCGCTGGCTGCACGGGGCTTCTGAGAGGCACTTGGTCAGGGGCTGCTCCCCAAAGCCCGGAGGGAGCGCTGGGCAGGCAGATGGAAAGACCACCTGGCTCCTCCCACAGGGGGCGGGGCTGAGCAGAGTGGAGGAGGAGCTGGGCGCCTGACACCACCCTCATAGCTTTCTTCTTTCCCCCTCACCCCCCACTGCCCAGGACCTTGGGGCTCCTGAGTAGAAGCCAGGAGTTTGGGTTAACATGAAGCCCTTTCCCGACAGGTGGCTTTGCCGTCCTTGCCTGGAGGTCTAGCCCTGGGGGACACCACTACCCAGTGAGACCCATCATTGGCTCCAGAGCTGGGCGGCCAACCTTGGTGTCTTGTTAAATGACTGCATGGACCTCGGTGACCCCTGTGGGCAGGACATGGGCAGGGGCAGCTGGACTGGTTATTGTCTGGGGAGCAGCTGGGACACCCAGGTGCCTGATAGCCCCACGGGGGAGTCTCTCTGCTGCCGTGAGCCCCCTACCCAACCTCCCCTCCCTGAACCTGTGTCTGCTGCCCCAGCCACGCCCTCTCCAGAGTGGCCACAACATGAGTGTCTATGGGGAGGTGCGCCACCCCTTGAAGCAGGTCAGCCGGCGCCTGGTGCAGACCAGGGCACTCTGCTAAGGTGACGTGGCTTCCTGTCCTTGGGGGGAGGAGACCTGGCTGCACAGAGGGTTAAGTACTGGGCCGGGTGGTTCCGACCAAGCAGCCACCCCTCAGGAGAGGAAAGAGGGTGTGGGGTGTCTGGGGAAATGAGGCGTGAGGGCTAGGGGGCCCCGAATCTCATTGGAGTGATGAGAATGAGCTGGCCGTACAATGTGTGAATGTCCAAAAACCTAGAGCGCCCTCGGAGGCCGGGGTTTCTGGGACTGTGAGTCTTTCCGGGAGCAGACGGCCTCATCTTTCTCCCGCCAAGCAGCTGGTGGGTTTGAACCGCAGACCTCGAGGCTGGCAGTGCACAAGTCCCACCAGAGCTCCTTCTCCATGTCCTCAGACCGCTGACATGGGCAGTCTCACACACAGTGCGGCGGCCTGAGGGCATGCCCAGTGCTGCTGTCCCGGGAGGGGTCAGGCCCTGCCCCAGGCACAGGCCTCTCTCGGAGAAGCCCAGGACCAGACAGGACATGGGAGGTGGCCCTGTGCTGCAGGAAGGGCCCTGCCTGTGCTGTGCCTGAGCGCCCCCTGCACTTCCTTCCCCCCTGAGAAGCTGTGGGATCCGAAGGAGCCGTGGGGGCCGGGTGTCCGGGCTGCTCCTCACCTTTCACCAGCGCCTTGAGGATGACCGTGTCCAGCTCCTCGGAGCCCTCCTGCTCAAAGTCGTACACCGTGAGCAGGTGCGCGTGCGCAGCAATGGTCTGCAGCTGGGGCAAGCAGAGGCTCAAGCGGGGCTGTTCCCAGGGCACAGGACCCCCACACACCCAGGGACAGCCCCCCACAGGCCTGCAGGCTGGTCACCAAGCCCCTTCCCACCCCATCCACGACAGGCCATCCTGGATCGGGGGCTTGCCATGCTGGGCAGCCAGGGGAGGGCCGCGTGAGGCAGCTGTCCTGTGGGGACAAGGGTGGGGGCCAGTGCTGTGGGGTGGATGGCCGCGCACCAGCCTGGTCCAGTGCAGGATGTCCTCCCAAGAGAAGTGCTCGTTGGGGAACTTCTCCTTGAACTGCTTCTCAGCCACCTGGGGCACCAGGAGGTGGGGCTGGTTCACCAGGGCTGCCAGGATGTCTGCGAGGCCCCCAGAGCCGGCCAGGATCAGCCACGGGGCCTCGTGCACCAAGGCCCGGGACATCCTCTGGAAGACAGGGGCAGACGGAGGAGGAAGTTGGGGAGAGAGACAGGGAAGAAAGGAGGAGGGGGAAGGAAAGGAGGGAGAGACATAGGGGAGAGGGAGGGAAGGAGTGGGGAGAGAGGTGGGAGGGAGTGGGAGAGCAGATCGATCCCAGACCCTGGCAGTCCTGGTATGCCCCTGTCCCTTCACCCTACTCCCACCCTTGGGGAGCCCCCCTAACCACTGCCCCTACCTCCAGCATGCCGGGGTCACCGTTGACCATCAGGCAGAGGACAGGGATCTCGATGCTGCTGGTGCCTGTAGATGACCATCATGAGGGGAGACCTGGGCCGGGGCAGGAGGAGACCACCAGGCCCCAGGGCTGCCCCTCAGGGACCTTTATCACAAGCTGAGGACCCGGGGCTGCATCTGCATCCTGCCCTGTGGGAGCTCTGTGGCCATGACCGCCCCCCTTGGCTCAGTCCTTGGGCACCAGCCTTGGTGGAGGCCAGTGTCTCGGGCACCGGAGTCCAGAGCCTCCTGCCCTCCCTGGACAGGCAGGCCTCACAGTCCGACCTGCCCAGACCCTTCTGTTGAGTGACAAATCAAAGAGGCACCCGGGCCATTTTGGGGGTCCTGCCTGAACTCAGGAGCCCGTTCATGGTAAAGCCCTCTGCTGACCAAAAGGTGGGCCCAGGGCACCTCCAGAAAAAGGCGTGATGCTTGTGGGTCTCAGTTCTGATCTCACACAGGCCCCCGAAGTGCTGTGTGAACTCAGTCACAAGTGCCTGAACTGAACCCCCCACCCAGAGCCCCCATCTGCCAGGATCTCAGGCCAACCACACACAGGCAGCAAGTCCCACAGTCACCTGAAGGCACACCCCCTCCCCAAACAGGCTGCTCCATTTAACTGGCCCACCACCCCCTCTTCAGACACACTAAAATCCCTCAGCGCCCCCCTGGCCAGTATACGTTTGTCCTCCCGCCTGCCATCCAGGATCAGGCGTAGCTGTCTGCCTCTGCGGCCCCTCGATCGAAGGAGCCCGGGTGGCATCCTGTGGTTTTACTCGCTAGGCTGCTAACCGCAAGGTCAGCAGTTTGAAACCACCAGCTGCTCCTCGGGAGACGGACGAGACTTTCTAGCCCCGTAAAGAGTTACCATCTCCGAGACCCACAGGGGCCCTTCTCCCCTGTCCTGTAGGGTGCGTGCCTGGAGGCTGGCATTTTCATGAATGCCATCCGTGCAGCAAAAGCATCTTCCTTCAATACCATTGGTGCTTCAGCTCATTGGCACCAGCATTTCTTCCCTGAGCTTTAGTGCCTCGATGTTCGAGAGCAAGTCTGAGCATCGCTTCTGAAGCCTGCAGAAGAGTTGCTTCTCTTTCCCTCCCGTTCTAGGCTGCCCTTGACCTCGTTCACAACCCATCACGCCTGCAGTCCTGAGCATTCAGTGTCTCCTATCTGTCCTTGCGATGGCCTCTGCGTTCAGGTGGGACAGACTCACGGTCATGCTTCGGTGCCCATGGACTTGTTTCCATCTTAATCAGCCTCGGCCTGGCCTTGCATTTGCGCAATGGGTGGTCTGTTCCACAGGCAGACCCTGGCCTGGTTCTGATGGATGGGGTCCATTTGGTTCCTGTGTGTTGGGTCCTTGGGTCTGTCTGGTGAGGTCCGCACAGGTGGTCACCGTTTATGTCATTGGTAAACGGTTCTGGCGATGAACAAATAGGCTGTTGGTCTTGCCAAACTCGTAGCGTTTGGTCTACCAGCGTGGTTTCTGTCCTCCAAGACCATCTCTTCCAACAATGGTTCCTAATGCTCTTGATTTCCAGCTCTTGAATTCCAGACACCACTCGTGGTCGATGCATTCTCACGGCACGTGGGCCGCTTGCAGACCGCCGAAGGAGGGACACAGTCCCCTGAGGCACTCGTGGGTGTGTGAATTCAAGTGATTGTCATATGGACTGGCCGTCCGTCTTGGTGCACGGATAGTCTCCAGTGGCGGAGAGCGGAGAGCAGAGAGCGTTGTTCTTGGAGAGAGAGCTTGAAATGTGAAACCCTTCCTCTGGACGTGGTTCCAGCAGAGTGAACCATAGACTGGTTCAAAATGGCCAATCCCAGTCCATTTTAGCTCAGTGTCTGGGATATCAATCTTTATATGCCTCACTTCATTAATATGGTTCTCTCTTTTTTAATTTAATGAGTTGCTGCTTAGTATTTTCTTGATAAATTAAACTTTACAAGCTGGCACTGGCTGGAACAGTGCAGTGCCCCTCTCCTGGGCAGCACTGCCCCTGGTGGCTACACAGAGCAGTGCCCCTTCCCTGGGCAGCACTGCCCCTGGTGGCTACACAGAGCAGTGCCCCT